TTCCTCACCTTTATCAACACTGCATCACCCCAGGCCTGATGAGTCCGTAATGGCCTGTGCTGTTTTCCCTTGTTCAAAGTCAATTACAGAAGACGCTTTTAAGCAGCTCAGATGGTACAGAAATATCGTATGCCATTGTGTTCAGCACTAATGTGACATTACTTTCCATTGGGAGTGTTAAATTTTGTTTTTTACATACCACTGTTTAGAGTTGAGAAATGCATCTACTAATTGATTTATAACTAAAACATGCATTTTTAACTAAAACATCATTTTTTTAAAAAAAGCCATTTCTGAATGTCAGTGACCAACCCCTCAGTTTGTTACGTTGGCACCCTTCCTGCCCTCAGTGATTCTGTTCTGTGATGAATTGTGGCCAGTTTCACTGTCGCTGGTCACCCCTGCAAGTGAGGATGGGAAGGGATGTCTGAGCCAGGAGTCTCTCTTCCCACTGTGCACCTCAGTTTCCCCATCTGTAAAAGTGGGGACTTGGAATAAATGATCTCCAAAGCTTCTTTTATACTTAGTGTAAAAATATAATCGTGGATGACACATGTAATACGTTACTTTATTCCTGCAAACATTCTAAACATTACAGGCAACCTCTCCAGCTCTGTCCCACCTCCACTCGGCCCTGCCCAGCCCTCGGCATCTTCCCAGCGGTAGCCACGGCGACGCATTTATATGAATCTTTCTCAGACATTGTTCCATGGATTAACATAAAAATGAATTTATAGAACCTTTAAGATGTTTCACGGACTCGTTCTATAATAATGACATATATTTTGAGTTAATAGGAACCTTGTTTCTTTAGGTAGTGTATAAATTCAGCTCAATGTGACTATTTCATAGGGTTAGAACAATCTAGGTAAAATACGAATGCAGTTTTAAAGCTGAGAAGATGTTGATTTTTGTACCGCTTTCACTTATCGTATGTGAGTCTGCCTGACTTAATACTATAACTTTGCTCCTGGAAGCTTAGTATATATATTGGAGTCAGCCGAATGGTACCATTAATTGCATCCTTCTTTGATGATGAACTTTTTATTATAAAAGTAATTCTATATAATGTATATATGTGTGTATATACATATAAAAGGAAAAGCCCCTCTTCTCAGCCCCTAGCCCAGTCATTCTCTCCCAGAAGAAACCATGGTGTCCATTTCTGCCACCAGAAATTACACTCACGTGTGCCGTCTTCTTTACTGCTCACTGTTTCCCTTTAACATTCAGTGCACACACACGTACACACACGCGCGTGTGCTCGTTTGCTCATGGTGGGCTGAGAGGGCTCGCGTGCGTGCACCTACCGTACACTCGGCACAGAGATGCACGTTTTGTTGCCTCCGTGTGAATTAGAACGCTGAGGTCCAGGGATGTGGAATAACTTTCTCGGCTTCCTACAGTTAGTAAGTGGCCCAGCCACTCCAGCGCAGACATGCTTTTTAGACCCTCTAGTCGTTTCTTTATTGGAAGACTCTCCTTATTACAAGACTACAGGGAACTCTCAAACTCAATGTTAAGGCTCAAAGAAAATAAAGGAAGACTGAGGGATGAGGGTGAGATCTGGGAACCATGCCTAAAATTATATCCCTGAGCTTCAGTCCCAGCCAGCAGATGCAGGAAGTGACCAGATGTGGGGTTCGCCCAGTGCTTGACCACGCAGTGGGACTTTGGGAGAGCCAGAGCTCTCAAAACCGGGGGAAAGGGTATGCTTTGGAAAGCATTGGAGCTATGGGAATGGAGCAGAAGTTCTCCTTCCCATCAGCCTGAGGCTTCCCTGCTTTGTGCCATTTACCTGGACCCGGAGCCTGAGAGAAGCCCCCTGCAGTTGGGCGTTGGCTTTCTCTTCTTTATTCATCTCAGCATCATGGGAAATTCGGAGCGTCCGAGCTTGAGTGCTCAGAAATCCTCCTGGAAAGCCAGGGGAACAGGGATGCTCCCTGGGAGCAGGGATGTGTATGCTCCATCTTCTTTTAACAGAAGACGCGTATTTCTTAAGTCACCTTCGGTTAAAGGAGGAAGAACATTTATTGAGTCCTCTGATATGTCTGGTAGTATGCTGAGTGGTCTTCGTTCCAGCTTTGTGAGATGCAAAGTCCACATTTCATGGACAAGGATCCTGGCCATCAGATCTTTGGGTAACTGTCTAGAGGATGGAGAACTGAAATAGTGGGGGTGGGATCAGGCCTTCACCTGCTGACTCCAAAGCCCACGCTTTTGCCAATGCTGTTCTCTGCTCTAGGCTTGGAAGCGAAATAGACAGACAGCTGTCACCAGGCTGGCCACAATTAAGTCCACTAGCCACCCTGTCTTTTCTGGACATTTCTAGTCTTAAAACTAATGATCTCTTTGTTTAATGAGTGTCTTCTGATTACTCAGAAACATTTGATACGCTTGACTTCTTAGGATGAATTTTTTTTTTAAATTCTGAAATCAGAGCTTATATTGGAACGTAAATAAGCCATCATTTACCTGGTGGCAGAGGCTTACTGGAATCAGTGTTTCTCAAACTATGAATTCATCAGTGAGTTAGGAAACCACTTCAGTGGGTCATGACCAGCATTTTAAAGACTAGGAGAGTAGAGGATAGCAGAGAACAAGAAACTATCCGTGCACAGCGCACAGCAAGGATGAGTATGTTTTGTGTGTGTGTGTGATTTTTATTTCTGTGATATATACGTACGTGTGCACTAATGTAAAATGCATTGCTTACTCCAGGTCACAGTTTTTTAAAAAAGTGAGCTTTGAAAAGAGAAATGTGAACAGATGTATAGTTCGTTAAATTGCGTGTTGCTGCTTTCTGGGCATAGCTTGCCCTGTAGTTACTGACAAAGCACCCTTAGGCCATTGGCACAGACGGATTGCAAGCTGAGCTTTCTGGACGTATCTGTGTGTTAATCTCTCCCCAGATCCTTGATTAGATGGGTGTGCCTGCCAGATTCAAAACATGTTGTGGACACTCGGGGAGGGCAGAGTGACGTTTCCAAAAGCTGTAGTGAGTTAGTAGCAGAAGTGGGACCAGAATTAGATTATTTATGGATTCTTTGCAGACTGGAAAAAAAAAAAGAGAGCTGAGCAATGGCTGTCATACTGAGGTCAGTGAGCAGCTGTTCCTTCATTGATGGAGCTAGAAAACAAGGGAGATGGACTCTGATTGCAGCAGCAGGGATTGGGCTAGACCTGGGGAGGGATTTCCTCACCATGAAAAGTAGGGGTGTGTGTGTATCACCCCTCCTCCAGAGGTCTTGAGAAAAGCAAGATAAATTCCCTTCTGCCGTGGGGTTTTGGGGGGACAGCAGGAGGGTGGGTGAGCCTGAGTACTTTTCCCAACCAAATGTCCTTATTCCCTTGGCCACACCCTCCCTCCTTCCCATGAGCGGGCGTGGTCTGGAGCTGGCTGTGTTTCTGTCCTCAGCCGGGGATGGCGAGGATAAGCCCCACGGTGTTCAGCTGGGTTGTAGTTAGCTTTGCATTTCATCCGGATGACAAACCAGGCCTGCAGCAGCTGCGATCAGCTGTTGGAAGAGAGGGACCGGGTGAGGAGGGGGCAGCTCCTGGCCTCTTGCCCAGCCCTAGTCCAGCGCTCAGCACCCACCTCTCCGCCTGCCTCTTTCTGCGGCTGGCTCTCCCCACTGTGATTTCTTCTGCCTTTTGCCCTGCATCTCTTCATCTTCCTGTGTTTTTTTTCTCTTCTCCCCTTTATGTCTTCTTGGGCCATCGGAAGCCACTGTGCTTCTATGTGGTAGAGCAGCGGGTTCATTCGGCACAGGGGAAGGTGCAGAGAGCCCCCACTGCTGAACCCCCTTCCCCAAACAGCAGCTAGTAGTCAGGAGCTTTTCGACAATAGGAGAAAAGCCCAGATTCAGGCAGACTTGGATTCTCACCTTGACTCCACCCCTTGCTGGCCAATCATTGAACTTCTCTGAGCCTCGGTTTCCTCCTGGGTTATTCAGGGATATCCATGCCTTCCTGAGGATCTTGTTGTGAAATGAGGAGACCTCCAGAAAAGCCCCTTGCTTGGGGATGGACGCACGCTGCGCGTTCAGTCTATGCTTGTTCTCCCCTGGGCCCCTCCTGGGACAGAGCTCCCTCCCCGCCTTCCTCGGCAGCCGTGCGCCCCGCCTGGTGGCCTGGTGCCACCCCACCTCTGCTTCAGCCCAGGGCTTGTTTGGCTTTTACTGAGCCTCGAAGATTTGTTGAATTCCATGGAGAAAACTGTTCCATGAAGGGGCATAATTCTTCTGTACCAACTCTTGTTATTTTTCCAGGCTTAGAAAAAAAGGGAGTCTGAGAAAATAAGCCGTTTTTAACATGAGTCATCCCAAGATGGGGGGAAAAGGCAACAGCTCGGACGAGCCCTAGACGTCACCACCGTCTGAGCTTACGTCAGGCACTGACATTTTATTTCTTAAACCACTTGGGCAGGTGATAAAGATGGTTAGTGAAAGGGGATATTGCCCAACCGAGACTCTGAACCACTGCCCTCCTCCCAGAATTCACTCGGCCTTCAGCTTGCTCTGAATCAGCCATCAGGCGAGGCTGGCCCCTCTCCTAGGCAACCGGCTGGGGAGGACACCCTTGACCGTCTGCTGGCACCTGCGTTTTCACTGAGCCCTGGGCTGCGGAGCAATGTACGTGGTGTCCGGGGGTCTCCCCACCCCCTCAGAGCCCACAGGCTAGTGGAGCCAGGATGGCCTCATAGTCCTGGGTTCCTCTTGTGATTCCTGGGCTCCTCTGGAAGGAGAATCCAGAGGAAGCTTCTGGGGATGTTGGAGAGAGTAAGAAAGCCACTTCTAGGCTGATGTTGGCTTTTTTGGACTCTGGCCCTTTTTTGGACGTTGTTGGCTGGGCCGTGGACTCCTCACCTCTGCCTCCTACGCCCCCGAGTCTGAGAGTCAGGGCTTTGCCTTCTGCCTTGACCTTTGAGGCTGCACCAGAGAAGTAGCTCCTTCCCTGCATTTCCTCCCAGTCTTCACATGGCCTTTCTCTCTGCACAGGTTTAAGGATTACCGGGAGCCGCCCTGGGCCCCAAACCCCTATGAGTTTTCCAAGCAGTACTGGTCCGTTCTGTCTGCCCGTCTGGCTTTTGTCATAATCTTCCAGGTGAGTTGTTCAGATAAGGCACAGCAGGTCAGGATCCGGGCTGCAGGGGTACAGGTGGCCCCGTCTCCGGGTTTTCAGGGCGCTCTGTGACTCGGGGGCCTTTGCGTGCGGCGGGCAGCCCTGAGACCCTTCCCTGGGTGAGGGCTTTCATTAACGGATGGATTTGCAGAAGGAGGATAAAGCAGAGTAAGGTTACAGGACAGATGTGGAGTAAGGTGCAGGGTGGAGACTGAGTCCCATGTACACCTAAGACCAGGAAGTGGGCAACAGCGTGGGAGAGCAGAGCCTCACCTCGGGACTCGGTTTAAAAGGCCAGCATCTGACTTGACCAAGCGGCTCCAGATCACTTATGGCAGCCTCTGGGAGCAGCCCTTGGTTCCCAAGCCTTCCCTGGGCCCTGGGAGCACGCAGGGTTCAAGGTCGAGCTGGGGGTGGGTTCAGAGCGTGGAAGACAGATGGCAGGGCTCCGACATCTCTTGGGCTGTCACTGTCCTCCAGGTCTAAGGAGAGGGGGCGTGCGAGCATAAGATGGGCAGGCAGAGGAAACTACAGCTGGAGGGTGAGGGGCAGCCCGCGGCAGGCCTGGGAGCCAGAGCGTACGGGGAGCTGCCCTTTAGCGGGCGGTGCTGGCACTGCAGAACGTATTCACCCACTTAAATAGAAACCGCTCCCAGGAAGGGAGGGTCTTATCCTACACTACGGGAGGGGAGGTGGCTTACTGGGGGGAAGGAAGGCACTTACGGATGTGCACAAAACCTCAGAACCGATGCAGGCCCTCTGAGGCAGGGCCCAGGCAGGCCGTGAGACCAGAACGTGGGGTTGGCTGAGGTCGGAAGTCAGTGCAGAACCCAAGGGTCCCCCTCCGGTTTGGGGACGGAGGGACAGCTGGGAAGCAGAGAGGGGCGGTTGGGTCAGGGAGAGCCCTGCAGGGCCGTTGGGCTCTGGAGCCCGGATCCTGGAGGCAAGAACAGGACACGTGGGGGCAGGGGGGCGGAGGGGAAGAAGCCAGTTCACACTGTCTGGCCGTGCATGGGAGGGGCGCTCTGGGAGATGGGTGCTGTCCCTACTCCACTTTCACCCGGGGACCCCAAGGGACAGTGAAGCTCGTTGGCTGAGTCGGCCGAGGAGCCAGAGGAGCCCAGAGGCCCCCTGCTCCCCCTCCCCGGGTCTGGGGTCTGTGCCCTCACCGCTGCCCAGCCCGCCTTCCCCGGGGCGGTGGAGCCCTCCCGCCCAGCCTCTCCTCTCACCACCCGCTTCCGGCTCTCCAAGAACCTGGTGATGTTCCTGAGCGTCCTTGTGGATTGGGTGATCCCTGACATCCCCACCGACATCAGTGACCAGATCAAGAGGGAGAAGAGCCTGTTTGTGGACTTCTTCCTGAAAGAGGAGCAGGAGACGCTCAGGCCGACGGAGGAGCCTGCCTGGAGGAGCCAGCGCGCCGGCCGTCGCAGTGGGGGCAGCCCGGCAGCCAGCCTGGTGCCCTCGGGCCGGAGCCAGCCGGGCAGCAGCTCGTCCCCGGGGTCCCAGCACACCAGTGTGTGAGCAGCTGAGACCAGCCCGGGGCTGCGCACCCGCATGGGTGCGGTGTCCGTCCTTCCGCAGGATCTGGCCTGAGGGGCTCTTGAAAAGGGCGTGTGTGTGCGTGTGTGTGTGCGCGCGTGTGGACAGAGGTTAGAGACAGGAGGCAGAGGATGGGCGCGGGAGGGAAGAGAATGACGCTGCTTCTCAGAAACTTCAAGCTTGGGTTTCTTTTAGGTCCTCTTTTGAGCTGTATCCTTTGGGCGATTGGTACCCCCTTTTGCATCCATTGGTGAAAGAATTGGGTCTCTCCAGCCCAGAGTCCCAGGCACCGCGAGCCCTGCCCTGTGCCCCCTCGGATACCGTCCCCGAATTTCGGTGGCCGCGGGCCATGAGAAGCACAGTCCGGGCCCTGTTTCAGCCCCATCATAAGTGATCACCACCCCCGCTTCCTACCATCACCCTGAGAAAACCCTCTGCATCACTGTCACAGCCTCAGTGGATGCAAATTAAGTTCCGTGGCTGATTGCTGTGGCCTCTGGACCTAATGGTGAGCAAAGGTCCAGACCTGGGCTTGTCTCCCGTTCATGTCATGGGGATGCTTTGAGCTGAATGCAGCTAGCCATCATTTTATGCAGGTTCAGGTTTAAAATAATAAATGGAAACATTCTTTAAAAAGATGCATCTCCTTGTCTTCGGTTCTCTCTCTCCTGCTTCCTACTGATATTTTTGGAGCCCCTGCTGGGTGCCAGGCATTGTCCTCAGACCAGAGATGCAGCAGAGGACAAAGGGCAGAATCCCACTGCGCCGAGTTATGTTCTGGGGACGGTTACATCAGACAGCTGACGAATGCACAGCATTTCAGGCGATCATAAGAAATATAAACTAGGATAAGGGAGACAGGAAATGTGAGGGCATGGGAGGAGGGGTTTGCCATTTTGTACATGAATTAATGACAAACCCAGGATGGTTCGGAGATCACCTCTTGCAAAGCTAACGTCATTGATCGGTAGCGGCCTCCCGAGCTCTGCGGGGAGATTTTCTAGTTGGAAGCAAAGGCCAGACGTCATTTATCATTGCCTTTCACACACCTCCACCCACCTGCTGACAAGAACCAGTGCACTGGCCCTTCCCTGGGGACCTGGCCCCAGTTCCCTGCAGGTCAGTCTGACTAGCGTACAACTTGGTCACAGTGGAAGCTGCCAGGAAGGCCACACCCCAGAGGAGGTGTTGGTTACTTTAAGGACATGCTGAAGTTTTAGGTGGGTTTTCCAGTTTTTGATTTTCACGCCCACCACCTTTTCTCAACATTTTCCCTCCTTGTCCAAATCCTTTATACTTTAGGAACATGCTCTTCCCGAATAATACGTTACTCTCCCCCCACCCCTCCATCCATTTATAATCTACGGTGTTTGAATCCAGCAGCTTCTAAACTCTTATGTGAATCTGTCACGGATCATCTGGAAGAGAGGTGAAGGCTCCCACCAGTCCCCTGTAACCTTACTCTCTCGAATTTCCTGTGCTGCTGAAGGCTGTACCTTTTCCTGTAGTGTGTGTTTTCTGAGATAAATTTCTTGCTGGTAAATGAGGTTGGACTGGGTTTTCTGGGATACATTTTTTGCTAGTAACTGAGGTTGGACTCGTCCATTCCTCCCCTGACAAGTACAGTTCTGCAGCTCCCAACAGCACGGCACAAATGAAGGGTATGGCTCAGTGTGGATGACTGAGCTTACCTTCCACGGATCCATTCTACTCACCTTTTGCACGGTTGGCCCTGGGCAACCGCGTCTCGGATCTCCTAAACCCCTTCAGCCCAGGTAAGCTGTGTCCACATTTCCACTCCTGCCCTGACCCACGGGGGTATCCGCTCTGCTCCGCCACAGCAGAGGGCGCCAGAGAGCAGAGCCCACCCTTCAAGGCTGAGCCACGCGTTCTGGAAAACAAAGCAGATGTTTCTTACACACGCAGCCCTGTGTGCACATCTGGCTCCCCTCCTACTCCCCTCCCTCCTCTGCCCTGTCCCCTGCACAGCAGCAGATGGCAGTGCCCGCAAAGCCACCTCCCTTCAGGACCAGCCGAGAAGACGTTCTGCCCAGGACTCTCACCCAGACACAGTGGATCCCACCGACCCTTCTGGCCTCTCCGGGGCTCCTGCAGTTTTATCTGCAGAAAGGAAGTGCAAGGCGAAAGCCAGATGGGAATTCCAAAAGACAGCTCCGCATACGAGTTCAGGAACCTTCATGTTTCATGAAGCTTCTTTCTCTCCCTTCCTCACGGAGGCCCGAGGCTTCCCAGCCAGGATGTCTTCCTCAATTAGGGGGATGAAGCCACAGGCCGTAAGGGAAAGAGGCAGAGTTTTGACACGGGTCCCACATCATAACCTGCTCTTCGTTTTCCCCCAGCACAGTGGACGCTGGTTGGCCTGTCTCAGGTTCCTCAGAGAGTATGTGTCATCTTCTATCAAGAACCACATCTGCCTGGTCTGAGTGAGGCTGCGTGTTGGGGAACAGGTGAGGCCCCTGAAATAGGCCTTGTCAGCCCTGTCCCCCGGGCCACCTTCCTGCTACGCTCTCAAGAACTTTCCTGGGGGTCTCCCTTATCAACTTCAAACTTGGTTTTCTCAGCTGTCAGCCCCAGGCTTTCCTCCACCTGCCTCTTCTGATTCTTTTCTTCTTGCTTCCATTAATGGCCCACTGTCTTTTCACGGGGCTGAGTTTTTCCATTTTATCTGTCTTCTCAGTGGCCCCTGCCTCTTTTCAGAAACCCCTCGGAAGCTCCTCTCCACGTAGCTGGGCCACATACGTGCAGTACTTTTCCATATCATTATGTCAAAAGCAGGTGGTGTTATTAACATGGGCAGATCCTGGCTTTGTGGGACCAGGAGCTTCTACAATTTTAGGGACCCTTTTTAAGAAAAAAGTACCCCAGATTATGAAAGAAACTTAGGTACAAAGGTGACTATGTATCTAGCATGAAGAGAGAAATCATTAAAAAATTATACATTTTAGGCTAACACGAGAAACACCACAAAAGGGACTTCCCTGGGAGCCCAGTGGTTGAGACTTCGCCTTCCAGTGCAGGGTGTACGGGTTGGATCCCTGGTCGGGAGCTAAGATCCCACATGCCTCGTGGCCAGAAAACCAAAACATAAAACAGAAGCAACATTGTAACAAATTCAATAAAGACTTTAAAAATGGTCCACATCAAAGAATCTTTAAAAAAAAAATCTTAAAAAAAACCCCAAACACCACAAAAGCTGTAACAAATAACTTCATTTTTTATTAATTAACCAACTCGCTCACCCTTATAATAATACTGCTCCCTCCACACCATTGGCTGCAGGTTCTTTAATTGCCTTTTCATACCAATATTTCCAATAAGGAGAAGAGAAAGGAATCCCGTCTTTTCCTCTAGCAAGTTTGATCTATATTTACTTTCTATTTTGGTTAGAAACTTAAAATTTTTTCTTTCAGTTCCACAACTCACTGTTGGTCATTTCATGTGAATTTTAAGATTACGGTCAAATTTGGGAAAGCGTCTATCAAGTTCCTTTCATCGATAAGGTCTAAGATTGAAAAAATGTTCCAGACATTTTGAAAGCAATTCACCTCTATTCTCTGTACATCCTTCTAGTGCTGGGCACCCGTGGAAGGGGCCTTGGAGCTAAAATTGCATTAGCTTTAATGTCAGTGTGCCTCTTCATCATTAGCCCTGTTTTGATAGCCACTGAAACTGAAGCCTGCAGTTCACACAGCTGTAAGGACTTCAGCACCAGGGTACAGGCTTCTGTTTCTTGGATATCATGACCACTCGCTCAGAGGCCCACTGCCCCTGGGTGCTCTCCCGGCGGCCCATGGCCTAAGGCCAGTGACAGGACCAGTACTAGTAATGATATAAGGACAGTCACCACCCACAGAGCAATTACTAGGAGCTAGTTCTTCTGCTAAGAACTGAACGCTCTTCACAGTCTTTAATCCGCACAACCTCCTGCGAAGTGTCTTTAGTGCCTGTCTTACTAAAGAGCCCTACCACCAGCTTGGATTGCAGGCCCTCCTTTTTCTGTGAATGACTGGAGCACCCACATGCTGATCAAGGAAGCTGGACCAAGATGCCATCGGCGTCTCCTTCTTGAGGCCTCCTGCCTTGGGTTCCCCCAAGTTCTCCAGGGCCTACCCATCCCAAGGGGGCTTCCAGAGACCCCCTGAGGAGACAGCGGGGGGTATTCCGTGCTCTTTGGCGAGTGTCACACGTGTGCTAGAGGGGTCATCTGCCACTGCACCTGGACACCCTCGCTGACCTGACTTGTGACCCCAGCAAAGTCGTGTGTCCCACACGTGGGCTCCACGATGATTCCCCAGGGATCTCGGCCTCACCACACAAGTACCAAATTCAGCCCCTCCTTGGAACTCCCAGATCTTTGTATCAAGCCAGTTTCCCCAGCCTGAACCCAGCTTCCAGGTGGGGACCTCCGTTCTGAGGCCTGGGGGTCTCTCCCGTCACACTGACCCACTCGCATAGATACTGATTTGGGATTATGAGCTGGGGGTCTCCGAGTGTCGAGAAGAATCGGTCCACTCCCTTCCCTCCAGACCAAGCTGAATCTAAGCGTTTGCCTCCCAAGCTGCAGAAGCTTCCGTGCTTACTCCACTCTGGGCAATCCCTCATTTACCCAGAAGGAAAGCTCTGTGTCAATCTTCCCTGAGCCCAGCGCCTCTAACCTCACTGCGCAGAGCTGGCGAGAGCAGTGGGGCAAGGGGTGCTAACACCAGCACACACAGGAACACGGGGCTCCAAGAAGCTCTGTCTCTGCTCAGCTAGGAGGAGGCTGCACCTGCCTCGCCCCCGAGCCTGTGCCTTCACCTCTCACTGGAGAAAAGGAAAGGGCACATTCCTGAGCTGTCTGTTTGGGTACAGCCTCATGGGACAGTGACCCCCACTGTTTGGACAGGAGTGTTGCTCGAGGCTGGCTGCGGCTCCCAGCTGCCCAGCACCAGCCCGACCCTTCTCCTCGCCTTCTCCTTCATTGCCACTCCGCAGTTCCCTCTTCTCAGTTCTCATGCCCAGGACTCCTCCTGCAAGCTTCCATCAGCCTGGCCCCTTGTCCCTGGGCATGCCCTTCTGTGATGCTTGTCAGGACAGAGAGGGAGACTCCTGGCCCACCGGGGTCATGCCCCCTGGGCTCAGGCTTAGAGATCTACCAGCTCCCTCCCAGTTCCCTCTTTTGTTCCGCAAGGGGAACCGCATATACATTGTGAGTCTGGGCTTGGAAGGGGTGTGGAGAGGAGGGACATGGACATGTAGGCATGTAACGGCCGCTCATGGGGACCTGTTTCAGACCAGACGCATCATCTTCGTTATTTGTGATCCTTACAATGACCTGTAACAATGAGCCCATTTCCTGTATGAAAACTTGGTGCTTTAAGATAGTCTCCAAGCTGCTCAAGGACACCTAGCAAATCCATTCACGAGCCAAAGGTGAAACCTCGCTCTGTCCCGGAGGCCATGCTGTTTCCTCTATGCCAGCCTGCCATCCATCTTCCCCCCAGCCTTTCCTCCCGTGACTAAGTTATATAAACTCTCTACTTCTCCAGACTTATTCGTTGTCATCTCTTCTGTATTCCCGTGTTCCTTTCCTGGGCTTTTGCTACATCAGGATGCTCGTTTCTGGTTTGCTACCAGAAAAC